AAAAAAAAAATTTGCACATCAATTTCTTCTGTTCAAACAGATTGGGGAAACTCGGATATTTTAAAATATTTTAGAAACACTTTTCAAAAAATTCCAAGACAACAGCTTTCAGTTGTTGCTTCAGCCCCAGTGTTGTTCAGATGAAGAAAGAATTAAGAAGTGAGAATTTGCCACCAACAGCAAGCTTTCTGAGCAGAGACTTTGTCTTATTCTTTCACCAAGTTCTTAGAAATAGGCACTCTTCAACAAATGTTTATTGAGCTCAAATGTCAAGATTACAAGATAAAATATCAAAGAAAATAACTTTGTGGAAAATCAAAATGCTTTAAGTTCACATACATATTTATAAACATACAAAATGTTCTAGTTTATCCGAAATGCCCCAGCACTTCTGAGTGCTACAGAGAGAAGCAATGAAAAGAGGAAAATGTCCTGAGTAGTTCACATAAGGAGAATTTGCAAGACTAAAAAGCAGACCAAAATTTTAAGAGACAAGCTAAATACTAACTGCATTCAATCTTATATAGCAACTTGGTAATTAATAAAACAGGTTGAATATCCCTAATCTGAAAACCCAAAATGATCCAAAATCTCAAACTTTCTGAATGCCAACATTATACAAGTGAAAAATTTCACACTTGACTTCATGTGACAGGTTGCAGTCAAAATGCAGGCACACTAAAAATACTCTATAAAATTATCTTTGGCCCAAGTGTATAATATATATATATATATATATATATGCAAACATGAAGAATTCTGTGGTTAAACTTGGGTGGCATCCCCCAATATATCTCATTATGGATATGTAATATTTCAAAATCCAAATAAACTTCCAAATCGAAAACACTTCTGGCTGGGTGTGGTGGCACACACCTGTAATCCCAGTGATTTAGGAGACAGAGGCAGGAAGATCACAAGTTCAAGGTCAACCTCTTCAATTTAGAGAGGCCTTAAGCAACTTAGCAAGATCTTGTCTCGAAATAAAAAATGAAATATAAAAAATGAAAATGTGGCTCAGTGGCTAAACATCTTTGGTACCAAACAAAAACAAAAAAACAAAATACCACTTCTGGCCCCCAAGCATTTCAGATAAGAGATATTCAGCCTATAACACATAATTGTTTTACAGGGTCCCATATTCAAGCCTGCTTAAAATTGTCACTATAGAAAAAGCATCTTCAGTTTGTAATTATATTTAAACAATTAATTTACATTATATCTTTTAAAGCATACTAATTTTACACAGCCCAAAGCTGGTATTTGAGGAAAAAGCTTAAAGTGTAGGGTATGAGCATGAAAGATTATAAATGCATGCAATAAAAGACCTTTCCATAAAACAGACACCTCAAGAAACTAATTTTAGATCAGAAACTAATTCTTTAAAATCTTTTAATTTTAAACTTTGCATTAAACCAGTGCAGCTTTTTTCAAAAATGAATCTCGTTTTCCTGCATCTGAAGCAAAGTAATATAAGGTATCTATTCTACTCCAGATTGTACAAAAGATTGCTATGTTCACAAAATTAAAACATATTTTGTACCTATGATCTCTCCACAGAGCAACTTAAATGATTTCAAGCAAGAATGCAGTATTTTCTCATTCAAAAAGGAAAGAAGGCAGGAGAATCATGTTTAAGGAAAGCCTGAGCAAATTAAAGATACCCCATTTGAAAATTAAAAAGGTATGGGGATGTAGTTCAGTGGTAGGGTGCCTCTGGGTTCAACCACCAGTACTCCAATCAAAACAAAACAAAAAGTACTGAATATTCCCAGGTAAACTACTATGCTAGATACTGTTAAGAATTTAAAAACAATCCAAGCACGGTGACACATGTCTGTAATCCTAAATACTCCAGTGGCTGAGGGAGGAGAATCACAAGTTCCAGGCCAGCCTCAGCAAGTTAGCAAGTCTTGTCTCAAATTCAAAAAATAAAAAGGGATGTGGCTTAGTGATTAAGTAGCCCTGGGATCTATCCTTGGTATAAAAAAAGAGGGGGCAGGGGCTAGGGATATAGCTCAAAGGTAGAGTACCTCTGGGTTCAATTCCCAGTATCAAAATAAAATAAAATAAAATAAAATTTAAAATATGCACACACCAGCAGTGAAGGAAAACTATATATAATCACAGAATCTGTTAGTGATAATAAAATGTCATGAAACTAAGGAACAAAAACTTGGTTATCTCCTTCTTCAAAAACAATATAAATATTCTAAATAAAAGAGTCTTGGGCTGGGGTTGTGATTCAGTGTAGAGCACTTGCTTAGCATGGGTGAGGCACTGGGTTCGATCCTCAGCACCACATAAAGATAAATAAATAAAGGTATGTGTCCGTCTACAACTACAAAATATTTTTTTAAAAAAATGAGTCTTCGGGCTGGGGATGTGGCTCAAGCGGTAGCGTGCTCGCCTGGCATGCGTGCGGCCCGGGTTCAATCCTCAGCACCACATACCAACAAAGATGTTGTGTCTGCCGAGAACTAAAAAATAAATATTAAAAAATTCTCTCTC